CAGTGCACTGTCCGACCAATACCCGGATGACCAGAGGAGGGTGACGTGTGAGCCCAGTATATCAAACGATCGCGAACCTCGAGCGGCACGTACTTCCGACCCTCTGGACACTGTGGAGGAGTAGGATCGGAATGTAACGCCCGCTCAATTTCCGCATCAACCTCCCACACCACCGGTGCCACCAGACAAGACTCCGGGAGTATGGGAGTGGGCTCAATGGACCTCTCCTCTGTGTCATATAGTCGGGACAGGGCGTTTGCCTTAGCGTTTTGGGACCCGGGTCTATAGGTGAGCTTAAATACAAAGCGGGAGAAAAACATAGCCCACCTTGCCTGGCGAGGATTCAGCCTCCTCGCTGCCCGAATGTACTCCAGGTTACGATGGTCAGTCAGAATGAGAAAAGGGTGTTTAGCCCCCTCAAGCCAATGTCTCCACACCTTCAGGGCTTCAACCACAGCCAGCAGCTCCCTGTCCCCCACGTCATAATTGCGCTCCGCCGGACTGAGCTTCTTAGAATAGAAAGCACAGGGGCGGAGTTTAGGTGGCGTACCTGAGCGCTGAGACAGCACAGCACCGATCCCAGCCTCTGAAGCGTCCACCTCCACCTGGAATGCCAAAGAGGGATCCGGATGCGCCTGCACCGGAGCCGAGGTAAACAGGTCCTTCAGACGTTTAAACGCCCTGTCCGCCTCAGCCGACCACTGCAGGCGCACCGGACCCCCCTTTAGCAGAGAGGTAATGGGAGCTGCTACCTGTCCAAAGCCCCGGATAAACCTCCGGTAGTAATTGGCAAAACCCAAGAAGCGCTGCACCTCCTTTACCGTGGTGGGAGTCTGCCAATTACGCACGGCAGAAACGCGGTCAATCTCCATCTCTACCCCTGACACGGACAACCGATGTCCCAGGAAGGAGATGGACTCCTGGAAGAACAGACATTTCTCCGCCTTCGCATACAGGTCATGCTCCAACAGTCTACCAAGCACTCGACGCACCAGGGACACATGCTCGGCTCGTGTAGCGGAGTATATTAGAATGTCATCAATATATACCATGACACCCTGTCCATGCAAGTCCTGGAAAATCTCGTCCACAAATGATTGGAAGACTGAAGTTGCATTCATTAAACCGTATGGCATGACGAGGTACTCATAGTGACCCGAGGTGGTACTGAATGCTGTCTTCCACTCATCTCCTTCCCTAATGCGCACCAGGTTGTACGCGCTCCTGAGATCCAATTTTGTGAAGAATCGCGCCCCGTGTAATGACTCCGTCATACTAGCAATCAGAGGGAGAGGATAACTGTATTTGATTGTGATCTGATTGAGACCACGGTAATCAATACACAGGCGTAAACCCCCATCCTTCTTCTTCACAAAAAAGAAACTTGAGGACGCAGGGGAAGTGGACGGCCGTATGTAACCCTGTCTCAGAGATTCGGTGACGTAGGTCTCCATAGCGGCCGTCTCCTCCTGAGACAGAGGATACACGTGACTACGTGGAAGCGCAGCGCCTACTTGGAGGTCTATCGCACAATCCCCCTGTCGATGAGGTGGTAATTGAGTCGCCTTCTTCTTACTGAAGGCGAGTGCCAAATCGGCATACTCAGGTGGAATGTGCAAGGTGGGAACTTGGTTCGGGCTTTCCACCGTCGTTGCCCCTACGGAAACGCCTACACACCGCCCAGTACACTGATCAGACCATCCCTTGAGAGCTCTCTGCTGCCATGAAATGTTGGGGTCATGAGATATTAACCAGGGAAGCCCCAACACCACGGGAAACGCAGGAGAATCAATCAAATACAAACGTAATATCTCCTCATGGCCCTCCTGCGTTTTCATCCGGAGAGGCGCCGTGACCTCCCTAATCAATCCTGACCCCAAAGGGCGGCTATCTAGGGCATGAATAGGGAAGGGCACATCAACAGGTACGATAGGAATCCCTAACTTATAGGTGAACTGGCGATCGATAAAATTCCCAGCTGCACCTGAATCTACTAGCGCCTTATGCTGGGAGTGAGGAGAAACCTCGGGAAACACCACTTTAATACACATATGATCAACAGAGAGCTCTGGGTGAGTTGGGTGCCTACTCACCTGGAATGACTCATCAGTGCGTCGCCCACTGCCTCGATTCCTAGGAGACCCTCCCCAGCACTGACCAGCAGTGTGTCCTCTGCGGCCACAGTTGGTGCAGGGGACGGCCTCCCTCCTGGTCTCCCTCCTGGTCTCCCTAGCACCAGCACCCCCGAGCTACATAGGGGTCGGCTCGGAAGTGCTGGCGGATGGAATGGACGGCCCCGAATCCGGATGTCCGCGGGTAGCCAACAGGGTATCCAGGCGAATCGACATGTCCACCAGTTGATCAAAGCTGAGGTTGGTGTCCCTGCAGGCCAATTCCCGACGCACATCCTCCCTCAGGCTACATCTATAGTGGTCGATGAGGGCCCTCTCATTCCATCCCGCGTTGGCAGCCAGCGTCCGGAAGTCCAGCGCGAACTCCTGCGCGCTCCTCCTCCCCTGTCTAAGGTGGAATAGACGCTCACCCGCCGCTTTACCCTCTGGTGGGTGATCGAATATGGGTGAACTCCGCATAGCTGACCGTAGCGGCGTCTATCCCACCCCACTCGGCGTTGGCCCACTCCAGCGCCTTGCCGGACAGACAGGAGTTGAGGGCGGACACGCTCTCGTATCCCGAGGGCGCCGGGTGAATGGTGGCTAGGTAGAGTTCAACCTGGAGTAGGAAACCCTGGCACCCGGCCGCTGTGCCATCATAAGCCCTCGGGAGCGAGAGCCGAATCCCACTGGACCCCGGAGGTGAAACGATGGGCATCGCCGATGGTGGTGGTATCGTTGGAGAGGGTATAGGTAGACCCCCTCTTTCCCATCGCTCAATGGTGTTCACCACCCGTTCCATGGCGGTGCCGAGAGCCTGGATCATGGCCGCTTGTTGTTCGACGCGTGCCTCCATAGATCCAGCTGGCACCGCCTCTCCTGCTGACTCCATAAGTGGTGTGTGATTCTGTCAAAGTGCGACGTGAATGCGGTAGGCGAAGTCAAACGCAGGACACTGAGCTACTGGAAACGATACTTTACTAACAAAGTCACCAGAGTACAAAACAACCTCCAAACAGGGAGGGGAATACCCGCACACTAGCAACTGCCGACAATGACGAGAACAATCACACACAACACACAATGAACGACAGAGGGTTAAATAGGGAATATAATACAACATAATAGGAAACAGGTGTACACAATCAAGACAAAACAAGTCAAACACAGAAACATCGATCGGTGGCAGCTAGTACTCCGGGGACGACGAACGCCGAAGCCTGCCCGAGCAAGGAGGAGGAGCAGCCTTGGCTGATTCCGTGACACTGTTCAGTGTGTCAGTGATGTTGATAATAACTACCAGATATGTGGTGTCTGGCCAGTGTGTCAGTGATGTTGATAATAACTACCAGATATGTGGTGTGTGTTCAGCGTGTCAGTGATGTTGATAATAGCTACCAGATATGTGGTGTCTGGTCAGTGTGTCAGTGATGTTGATAATAACTACCAGATATGTGGTGTCTGGTCAGCTTGTCAGTGATGTTGATAATAACTACCAGATATGTGGTGTCTGTTCAGCGTGTCAGTGATGTTGATAATAACTACCAGATATGTGGTGTCTGTTCAGCGTGTCAGTGATGTTGATAATAACTACCAGATATGTGGTGTGTGTTCAGCGTGTCAGTGATGTTGATAATAACTACCAGATATGTGGTGTGTGTTCAGCGTGTCAGTGATGTTGATAATAACTACCAGATATGTGGTGACTGTTCAGCGTGTCAGTGATGTTGATAATAACTACCAGATATGTGGTGTCTGTTCAGCGTGTCAGTGTTGTTGATAATAACTACCAGATATGTGGTGTCTGTTCAGCGTGTCAGTGATGTTGATAATAACTACCAGATATGTGGTGTCTGGTCAGCTTGTCAGTGATGTTGATAATAACTACCAGATATGTGGTGTCTGTTCAGCGTGTCAGTGATGTTGATAATAACTACCAGATATGTGGTGTCTGTTCAGCGTGTCAGTGATGTTGATAATAGCTACCAGATATGTGGTGTCTGTTCAGTGTGTCAGTGATGTTGATAATAACTACCAGATATGTGGTGTCTGTTCAGCGTGTCAGTGATGTTGATAATAACTACCAGATATGTGGTGTGTGTTCAGCTTGTCAGTGATGTTGATAATAGCTACCAGATATGTGGTGTCTGGTCAGTGTGTCAGTGATGTTGATAATAACTACCAGATATGTGGTGTCTGTTCAGTGTGTCAGTGATGTTGATAATAACTACCAAATATGTGGTGTCTGTTCAGCGTGTCAGTGGTGTTGATAATAACTACCAGATATGTGGTGTCTGTTCAGCGTGTCAGTGATGTTGATAATAACTACCAGATATGTGGTGTGTGTTCAGCGTGTCAGTGATGTTGATAATAACTACCAGATATGTGGTGTGTGTTCAGCGTGTCAGTGATGTTGATAATAACTACCAGATATGTGGTGTCTGTTCATTGTGTCAGTGATGTTGATAATAACGACCAAATATGTGGTGTCTGTTCAGCGTGTCAGTGGTGTTGATAATAACTACCAGATATGTGGTGTCTGTTCAGCATGTCAGTGATGTTGATAATAACTACCAGATATGTGGTGTCTGGTCAGTGTGTCAGTGATGTTGATAATAACTACCAGATATGTGGTGTCTGGTCAGCGTGTCAGTGATGTTGATAATAACTACCAGATATGTGGTGTCTGTTCAGTGTGTCAGTGATGTTGATAATAACTACCAGATATGTGGTGTCTGTTCAGTGAGTCAGTGATGTTGATAATAACTACCAGATATGTGGTATGTTTCAGTAATGTTAATACTGTCTGACCAGATATCTGGTATGTTTCAGTATGTCAGTAAAGTTGAAAAGAATGACAGTCTGTCTAATCTTTTACTCTCACCAGGCATGGCTCTGGACTTCAGCATGTCGGACAGACGAGACACTGTGCCTGGGCCACAGCACATAACAAACCCTGACTATCCCCTGTCTAACCTCTAATCCCCCTCTCTCGCCGCCGAATTACCCTCTCTCCCCCTCGCTCAGCCACTCACCCCCGAATCTCCCTCTCCCTCTCTCACCCTCTCTCACCCCTGAATCACCCTCTCTCTCCCGTCTCTCACCCCCGAATCACCCTCCTCTCTCACTCCCCGAAATCACCCTCTGTCTCCACGCTCTCTCTCTCTCTCCGCTCCTCTCTCTCCTCAGAGTGAATTCGCCTCTCTGTCCGTCTTTCGAAGGGCATCTATCCCTCAATCTCTCACCCACTCTCTCTCACTCTCCCTCTCTCACCCTCTCTCTCTCCCTCTCTCACCCCCGAATCACCCTCTCTCTCACTCCCGAATCACCCTCTGTCTCACGCTCTCTCTCTCTCTCTCTCTCTCTCTCTCTCTCTCTCTCTCTCTCTCTCTCTCTCTCTCTCTCCCTCTCTACAACACCATAGACATGAAGAACAGTACTGTGTTTCTCTGTCACAAGTATTGATAACGACACAATAAGGACTGTTACTGTTCATTAATAGGGAAAGTGACGGAGAGCAGCAATACAGGCCTTCACAAAGTGTCACCTACTCTAAACATACGTTCACATACGTTAGTATGTACTATCTGCATACAGTATGCCCAAATCAATGTTAGTTCTTATTGATAGGAAGGGTAACGGAGAGGGACACCTTCTCTGCACGTACATACTGTACAAACACTATAGATACATCTGCATAGTCCGGCCCAGTCACATGGGGTTGCTGCTGTAGAGTGGGTTCGGAGGTTCAGAGAGGAGGCAGCAGGATGTTTGTGAAAACAGTGATTTAAATTATTAATCATGGCTATGCTATTTTACACTCTTTCCTTCCTTCCTCTCCCACTCGTCCATTGCCCCCCCCTTTCTTTCTCTCCCTCTTCTCCCCCCCCCCCCCCCTCCCTCCCTCCCCCTCCCTTCTTTTAAATAGTATTTTAGACTTTGTTACGTTTCTGAGTAAGCTTTATTATTTTGTTCCACTGTTTCTTCATCTCTGTCCCCTCTTGCAGATATTTTGTGTTGGATCCAGACATGGGTCAGCTGCAGTACTTTGTGAACCAGCACAGTAAGAATCAGAAGCCCCGGGGGTCCCTGCCCCTCATAGGGGCCTCTGTGGCCCCCAGCGATGAACTACCACACATGTTCACTGTCCACTCTGCCACTGGAGAGGCCTACAAACTCAGAGGTAGGTGGAGGATGTCTGTTACTCTACAGATGTTATTAGACAAAGACAGTTATTGTACTTCTCTTAGTCTGGCTGGTCCAGGATCTGTTTGTGCTGTCTTGCCAACTCCTGCAGACAGCACAGAATGATCCTGAACCAGATGAGGTAACTTAATACAAACTCAGAGGTACGTTACTGTACGTCATTCTTAGAGCCTGGTCCCAGATCTGTTTGTGCTGTCTTGTCAACTCCTATATGATGGGGATCATATCGTCTGATGGTGATCAGAGGAGTTAACAAGACAGCACCTCTTCCACTGTTCACCTCTCTCAACCACAGGTTTCCTCTTGTATCTCCTCCTCTGTTCATCTCTCTCAACCACAGGTTTCCTCCTGTATCTCCTCCTCTGTTCACCTCTCTCAACCACAGGTTTCCTCTTGTATCTCCTCCTCTGTTCACCTCTCTCAACCACAGGTTTCCTCTTGTATTTCCTCCACTGTTCACCTCTCTCAACCACATGTTTCCTCTTGTATCTCCTCCTCTGTTCACCTCTCTCAACCACAGGTTTCCTCTTGTATTTCCTCCACTGCCAACCATTAGCCATTTTAGACAATGTTTTAAAGCAGCTTTTTATCTTTATAAAAACCACAACATTTCCATGCACCATAAGGCTCTGGTCAAAAGTAGTGCACTATATAGGGAATAGGGTGCCATTTGGGATACAACCTCAACATCCCGACCCCCCCAGTTGGACACAACAACCACTCTGATGGCTTTAAGCCTGGACATCTGACATCTCAAATTCACACTTTGTCTGGAGGTTTCCTAAATTCCCCTGCTGCTGTTGCTGAGAGACATACTGTAATGATCTGTAGAGACATACTGTAATGATCTGTAGAGACATACTGTAATGATCTGTAGAGACATACTGTAATGCTCTGTATCTGGGGGTATGTTGAGACTGGAGAGACATACTGTAATGATCTGTATTTGGGGGTATGTAGAGACTGGAGAGACGTACTGTAATGCTGTATATTTGCAGGTATGTTGAGATTGGAGAGACATACTGTAATGATCTATATTTGGGGGTATATTGAGACTGGAGAGACATACTGTAATGAGCTGTATTTGGAGGTATGTTGAGACTGGAGAGACATACTGTAATGATCTGTATTTGGAGGTATGTTGAGAATGGAGAGACGTACTGTAATGCTGTATATTTGCAGGTATGTTGAGACTGGAGAGACATACTGTAATGATCTGTATTTGGAGGTATGTTGAGACTGGAGAGACATACTGTAATGATCTGTATTTGGAGGTATGTTGAGACTGGAGAGACATACTGTAATGATCTGTATTTGGAGGTATGTTGAGACTGGAGAGACGTACTGTAATGATCTGTATCTGGGGGTATGTTGAGACTGGAGAGACATACTGTAATGATCTGTATTTGGAGGTATGTTGAGACTGGAGAGACGTACTGTAATGATCTGTATCTGGGGGTATGTTGAGACTGGAGAGACATACTGTAATGATCTGTATTTGGAGGTATGTTGAGACTGGAGAGACGTACTGTAATGATCTGTATCTGGGGGTATGTTGAGACTGGAGAGACGTACTGTAATGATCTGTATTGGAGGTATGTTGAGACTGGAGAGACATACTGTAATGATCTATATTTGGGGGTATGTTGAGACTGGAGAGACATACTGTAATGCTCTATATTTGGGACGCCCCAAAGTTTTGGGACTTTTATACATTTTTGATAAAGGTCCAAAACACAAACTGAAAGGTACACAAACAAACTGAAAGTATTAGAGTGTGCAACTTTATTTTCTTTTAGTTTTTTCAGTTTCCAGTCTGCGAGTCAGCACTTCCTTAACATTTTAGTGTGTGTGCATCTTCAGCTCCTATACTCTGCAGTAACCTCTCTCTCTCTCTCTCTCTCTCTCTCTCTCTCTCTCTCTCTCTCTCTCTCTCTCTCTCTCTCTCTCTCTCTCTAGCGTCGGACGCTGGGGAACAGCAGCTCTGGATGAGTCAGCTGCAGCTCTGTGCCCGGCGCCACTCTGACTCCAGTGCCAAGGTAGGCTACTGTGCATCACCTTTACATACTGTAGAATCTATAGGCTATACCACCTCGTCCTTTACCTCCTTTTCATAATGTAGAATCTATAGGCTATACCACCACGTCCTTTACCTCCTTTACATACTGTAGAATCTATAGGCTATACCACCTCGTCCTTTACCTCCTTTACATAATGTAGAATACAGTGGGGAAAAATAGTATTTAGTCAGCCACCAATTGTGCAAGTTCTCCCACTTAAAAAGATGAGAGAGGCCTGTAATTTTCATCATAGGTACACGTCAACTATGACAGACAAAATGAGAAAAACAATTCCAGAAAATCACATTGTAGGATTTTTAATGAATTTATTTGAAAATTATGGTGGAAAATAAGTATTTGGTCAATAACAAAAGTTTCTCAATACTTTGTTATATACCCTTTGTTGGCAATGACACAGGTCAAACGTTTTCTGTAAGTCTTAACAAGGTTTTCACACACTGTTGCTGGTATTTTGGCCCATTCTTCCATGCAGATCTCCTCTAGAGCAGTGATGTTTTGGGGCTGTCGCTGGGCAACACGGACTTTCAACTCCCTCCAAAGATTTTCTATGGGGTTGAGATCTGGAGACTGGCTAGGCCACTCCAGGACCTTGAAATGCTTCTTACGAAGCCACTCCTTCGTTGCCCGGGCGGTGTGTTTGGGATCATTGTCATGCTGAAAGACCCAGCCACGTTTAATCTTCAATGCCCTTGCTGATGGAAGGAGGTTTTCACTCAAAATCTCACGATACATGGCTCCGTTCATTGTTTCCTTTACACGGATCAGTCGTCCTGGTCCCTTTGCAGAAAAACAGCCCCAAAGCATGATGTTTCCACCCCCATGCTTCACAGTAGGTATGGTGTTCTTTGGATGCAACTCAGCATTCTTTGTCCTCCAAACACGACAAGTTGAGTTTTTACAAAAAAGTTCTATTTTGGTTTCATCTGACCATATGACATTCTCCCAATCCTCTTCTGGATCATCAAAATGCACTCTAGCAAACTTCAGACGGGCCTGGACATGTACTGGCTTAAGCAGGGGGACACGTCTGGCACTGCAGGATTTGAGTCCCTGGCGGCGTAGTGTGTTACTGATGGTAGGCTTTGTTACTTTGGTCCCAGCTCTCTGCAGGTCATTCACTAGGTCCCCCCGTGTGGTTCTGGGATTTTTGCTCACCGTTCTTGTGATCATTTTGACCCCACGGGGGGAGATCTTGCGTGGAGCCCCAGATCGAGGGAGATTATCAGTGGTCTTGTATGTCTTCCATTTCCTAATAATTGCTCCCACAGTTGATTTCTTCAAACCAAGCTGCTAACCTATTGCAGATTCAGTCTTCCCAGCCTGGTGCAGGTCTACAATTTTGTTTCTGGTGTCCTTTGACAGCTCTTTGGTCTTGGCCATAGTGGAGTTTGGAGTGTGACTGTTTGAGGTTGTGGACAGGTGTCTTTTATACTGATAACAAGTTCAAACAGGTGCCATTAATACAGGTAACGAGTGGAGGACAGAGGAGCCTCTGTGAGAGCCAGAAATCTTGCTTGTTTGTATGTGACCAAATACTTATTTTCCACCATAATTTGCAAATATATTCATAAAAAATCCTACAATGTGATTTTCTGGATTTTTTCCCCTCAATTTGTCTGTCATAGTTGACGTGTACTTATGATGAAAATTACAGGCCTCTCTCATCTTTTTAAGTGGGAGAACTTGCACAATTGGTGGCTGACTAAATACTTTTTTTCCCCACTGTATATAGGCTATACCACCTCGTCCTTTACCCCCTTTACATACTGTAGAATCTATAGACTATACCACCTCATCCTTTACCACCTTTACATACAGTAGAATCTATGGACTATACCACCTCGTCCTTTACCTCCTTTACATAATGTAGAATATATAGGCTATACCACCTCGTCCTTTACCCCCTTTACATACTGTAGAATCTATAGACTATACCACCTCATCCTTTACCACCTTTACATACAGTAGAATCTATGGACTATACCACCTCGTCCTTTACCTCCTTTACATACTGTAGAATCTATAGGCTATACCACCTCGTCCTTTACCTCCTTTACATACTTGTCAAAGCGACGTGTATGTGGTAGGCGAAGGACACCGAGCTACTGGCAGAAACTTTACTGGATACAGTGCAAATACAAAGTACAAAGGCAACCTCAAATAGAGAGGAAATAATACGACCCGCACACATGGGCAACTGCCGCAAAGACCAAAACAATTACGCACAATAGACAATGAGAAACAGAGGGTTATAAAGGGAACACAATAAAACATAAATAAAAAAATGAATCCTGTTTATTACAAGTTGCAACAGGGAGACGCCTCCAGATCAGAAGCAAAGCAAATGTCTAATGGACCTTGTCTGAGAAAGCTCTTATATATTAATCACACAGCACCAAATGTTCTGGAAACACCAGCCAGAGAGGCTATAGGAAGTCACAACATCAGCTGCACCACATCACACAGTGTCACCGAGATATTGTCAGTGTCCCCGGCCCAGTCTGGAGCCAAAATGTAACCATAACATTCAACACTGGCAGACATTTGATAGTGTCAGTTAAACAGGTCAAAGGTAGAAACATCAGCACATAGTTACAACAGAGAATTATAGACCAACAAGTGACATGGTTAACTCCTGTTTCCCTTCCCCTAAGGGAATGCATCTGTCTGCGTCTCCCCGCACATACAATAATGTTTATTAAATATCAATTCATATCAACAGTGAATCAAATACAGGGAAATATTTCCCATTACAACTATTTATGGAATAGGGTGCCATTTCGGATGCAGGCCTTGGTGACAAACCCAAGGCGAGCAGCCCAATAGTCTGGTGATACAGTCAAATCCTGCGCTGACATTTTTAAAATGTATTTTGGATTAGTTTTTTTGTCCAGAAAGTGCACTGCCGAGAACACTGAGTCAGTGGGTCAGACTTTGTTCTGTTTTGCCCTAGAAAGGAAGCCTTTAAGAATTCTAATACTGGTGAAACTAGAGGGAGGTTGAAATATCATACAGATAGATGCTGTATCTTAATTCCAGCCAGTTTGCTACAGCAGGAAATGTGAATTGTTATGTGGATTTTAATTAATGGGGTTGATACATTTTTCGTTAGGGCAAATCAAGTCTGACATTTTAAAGTGGAAATTACAAACTTTAGAAGCCTTTTAAATCTTGAATACACTACCAGCTTGCATTTCCTGCTGTTCAGGACATTTCCTGCAACAACAGGATGATCAAATTAAGATACATCATTTGTATAGTTACAGTTTTCGATGAAACCACCATAGTTTCAAATGAGCTATCACGTTCATTTCAGAAGCGCTATTATAATTTAAGCTACCATCACGTTATAGTACAACCAGGTCATTTGCTTGTTAAAAATAGACATATTGATACTGTTGTTGATGAAACTGAGGGTAACAGGATAACAGTGTCAGTTGGACAAGTCCATGTAGTCCCTCCCTGTATGTCTGTTTTTCTTCCGTTTGGTGACTAATGAACACAACCCATATCTGCTGAGAGCTAGCTTCCGCTGCACCAACCCCTACCCTGGTTTTATGATAGGCCTACCCAGGAATAGCTGGTTTTATGATAGGCCTAGTGCATAGAGAGAACATTGTAACAGTAAATGCTTTGGTAACCATGGTGCTGCCGTCATCTCCATGTTTACTTTGTGAGTCACTGCCTTCCCAGAGGTTTCATCAGCTCAGTCGACACAACATCCCATCGTCCCTCACTCGTATCAACATCATTCCTATTTTACAGCCAACGTCATTCAGAAACGTTAAGCGTGTGTAGAGGTTGTGTAAACTGTATCATTTATCTAGATATTGTGTGTCAGTTTACACAGAGATGAGTGTGGTTGACCCAACAGAGTTAAACAGAAGACCATTGTCTTTTCATGAAGTGTTGGACTAACCCAGAGCCACAGGGCAAGGAAGCAGTGTTGGTTGTGGTGTTGTAGGGACCTGTTGTTTTTGCACCAACAGTTCAACTAAGTTAGTGTGTGTGTGGGGGTGCATGTGCACGAACACTTGTGTATCTGTGTAGAGGTGGGCAGGGGTCACATGACTAACTATTGCCCATGTCCATGAGCACTGCAGCCATTTCACTACCATAATCTCACAAAACATTGTACTGACTATACAGGTGAGTTAAAACAACTGGGATGCTATAAGAGAAGGGTTAGACTGGGGGGATGGCTCCATGCTATTGCAGGGAGAGTACTGAGTAATTAGGGTGATGTGATTTACCTTGAGAGAAGAGTAGAGAGAGAGACTGAGAGCCTGAGAGTTCCTGTTTCACTCTGATAGAGCCAAGCCCATTAGACAGACAGTCTGTTATGTAAACCCAGCTAACTTATAAACCAAGCCCATCATTCCTCCTGTCCTGGCTGAAATATATTACCACTGATTGGTTTGGTAATGGACTTTTTATCAGTCTGGATGGATGAGACTTTACTCTAGTCTGGATGGATGAGACTTTACTCTAGATGTGTCTCTGTCTGGAGGAGAGAGTTGTAAGAGAGGGTAGAGTGTGCTTTTGGAATACATTGTATCTTTGAGTGAGTGAGTTGTGAACTTAACTGAGTTTTACTGAGATGGATGTAGCGAGAATGGAATGTTAGTATGGATGGAATTAACTCCTTCCTTTAGAGAGAATTATGCACATACACAACTCAGCAGCTCTTTAAACCTAAACCAGAAGGTTGCTAGCACCTTTTGTAAAGGTATATGATGAGAATCTACAGTAGCCAATACATATTATCTGTTTGGTTACTGACTGTAATAACAAAGTCCCCTGGTGATTTCTATAGTTCAATAGGTTTTACTGCAGTCTACGGTGGTGTACTAAGCGCAGCAGTGTTGAGTGTGTTCTGTAAAAGTGCTGTGGAGACTGAAACCTTAGTGGTGGTGACTCCCTCAGCTCAGTGGTTCTGCTCTCTCTCTGTGTATCCTGACTGCTATGCTATCTGAGCAGAATGTTCTGATCTGGGCTCGCTGATCTGCATGCCCCCCCCCCCCCCCCTATACCTTCTCATCCCTCGCTACCTCTCACTGCCTCCCTTCACTGGCCATCACCCCTCTATACCTCCCTCCTCCCTCTCTCCCTCCTCCCCCGGCTGTGTGGCTGGCTGGCAGGTCCTGTCCTGTCCTGTCAGCCCGGCCAGGCAGAGGGAGGCAGACCCAGGCAGGCAGAAGATGCCCTTGTGTGTGGCAGGCAGAAGATGCCCTTGTGTGTGACAGCAGAGCATGGCGGTGTTAGCAGAGTAGGAGCAGGAGGAGGAGGAGGAGGTAAAGCCGGGAAGAAGCAGCAGTGTCGGACTCCTCTACCTGACTGCTCCGGCTCCTCTCACTCCTGCTGCTGCCGTCTCTTTCAGGGCACCTCCTCCTTCACTGCCTCCTCCTCCACCCAGGGCCGGACACGCAGCTTCTCCCTGCTCCCTCCTCCATCCAGCCAACACCACCCTGCCTCGCCCGTCTCTTCCTCCTTCACCTCCACCACCTCCTCCTCACCTGGTACCCAGAGAAAGCCTCTCTACCCTGGGGTTGGAGGGGTCGTCACCATCACCCATCACAGATCCCCTGCTGCGGCCCGCCGGGCCAGGACCCAGTACAACTACCACCACCACCAGAACAACCAGAACTACCACCCTGCTCCAGGGAGGCTGAGCCAGGTCAAAGAGGTAGGGCTGCTGCTCTGGTAGGACTGTAGGTAGGTAGTACTGCTCTGGTAGGACTGTAGGTAGGTAGTACTGCTCTGGTAGGACTGTAGGTAGGTAGTACTGCTCTGGTAGGACTGTAGGTAGGTAGTACTGCTCTGGTAGGACTGTAGGTAGGTAGTACTGCTCTGGTAGGACTGTAGGTAGGTAGTACTGCTCTGGTAGGACTGTAGGTAGGTAGGTAGTACTGCTGTGGTAGGACTGTAGGTAGGTAGGTAGGTAGGTAGGTAGGTAGGTAGGTAGGTAGGTAGGTAGGTAGGTAGGTAACCTTAACCTCGAAAAGTCCAAGTCTACTAAGCTAAGATGGTCATACCATGGCTCGTTTAGCTATTTGATTTGGAATTTTAGGACCCCTTTAGGTATAAAAACAAAATATATTTTTTAAATATTGCATTTGGCCTTTACTACTATAGCTCATAGAAATGCATTGAATAACACATTCATAAATGGCAAAACATTTATCAAAAGGAATAAGGTTTTGAAGATTCTAGGAGATATAAGAAAGCTCAGGAAATATTTTTTGGGACACATATTTAACCCCTTATTTTTGTTGACGCAAAACTACCACCATACTTCCATTAATTTGTATGGGTTACAGTATCGCGTTCGTGAGAGTCTCATCTTTCCATAGAGTGGTCATATTATTTTCAAGGCCAAACCGTTCAGACGTTTTCGTGAGAAGACAGATTTTCAAGATGTCTCTTGGTCTGACAAACACTGCTGTAGCTCGGCCACCTTCCACCGCAGATGCGGAAGGCCGACATCAGCGGATACGGTGGATTTAGATGCAGCCTATGCAAAAAAACGGATCTCTAGCTTATATTGACTGATTTTGATGGGGATTTTTTGTATTATGTTACTTAGATTGACCCGTCCAATATACAATTTTTTTGCTTCCTGAGATAGGGCTGACTGTATGGCTATGGCCTTTAAACAGCTGTGGCTCTCCCTGGAATTGGCTGAGTTCTGTCTCCACAGAGAGGTGCATGTGTATTTAAAAGAGGAAGTATCCCTGCGGCGCTGTGTCTGGTTCATAGAGGTCTCTCCTCTCCTGGGTGTTGGAGATTAACCTGGATGGGGATGGATGTGGTCTGAGCCTCAGACCCTAAAACCTAACTCTATTACCTTTTAACTATATTATTACTTTTATATGTATATGTATTTTTTATTTTATTACTGAGCCAGGCGGCTAGCAGACGTGCAAACCTAAGCAGGGAATTCACTTCCTCCTTATCAACAATGCATGTATTCATTGGTTGAGCATGGATTAGTACATGAGGAAATTCCCTTTCCGTAAGGTAGAACAGCACACCAGGATTTTGAACATGGTAAACTGATCCTGTCAGGACTTATGGGTAACTTCTACCTGTAGCCACTAGAGGCTTTGTCTATCTGGAGCCGCTAGAGGCTTTGTCTATCTGGAGCCGCTAGAGGCTTTGTCTATCTGGAGCCGCTAGAGGCTTTGTCTATCTGGAGCCGCTAGAGGCTTTGTCTATCTGGAGCCGCCAGAGGCTTTGTCTATCTGGAGCCGCTAGAGGCTTTGTCTATCTGCAGCCACCAGAGGCTTTTTCTATCTGGAGCCACCAGAAGCTTTGGCTCAGTTCCTCTAATGACAGGTCATAGGAAGGGGACAGAGGAACAGGAGAGGGTTGTGAGGAGAGGAGGAGGAGAGAGGAGGAGGAGAGGGCTGTGGAGAGAGGAGGAGGAGAGGAGGAGGAGAGAGGAAGAGCAGAGGGCTGTGGAGAGAGGAGGAGGAGAGGGATGTGGAGAGAGGAGGAGGAGGAGGAGGAATAGAGGGATCCTGTTAGACACAAGGGCATGATGAACATCCCACTATACTGCACCGGGGAGGAATGGAGAGATGAATATTACAGAAGACAGTGTGAGAGAGGGAAAAGATTGTATGTGTGAGAGAGAGAGAGGGGGGGAGAGAGAGAGAGAGAGGGGGGAGGGAGAGAGAGAGAGAGGGGGAGAGGGAGAGAGAGCGAGCGAGAGGGGGAGGAGAGAGAGAGAGAGAGAGGGGGAGGAAGAGAGAGAGAGATGAGGAGTAAGAGAGATACAGAGAGAGTTAGGAGACTAAGAGAAAGGGAGAGAGTACATGGGAAAGAAAGAGTAATGGATTTTATCTGCCGTTGGCATAACTTTGAAGCTTTTCTTTTCATAGTGAAGCTGACTATGTCTCTGTCTCTGTATCTGTGCTTCAGGTCTAAGCTGAGAACAAAGGAATCTTCAGAGAGTTCAGGGAACAGTGTGTGTGTGTTTGTGTATGTTTGTGTGTCTGTGTGCCTGTGTGCCTGTCACTGTGTCTGGCCGTAGTGTCTAAGATGACTTGCAAGAATTAACGACTCCTGTGAAAGAATGCTGCTAGCCCCAGAGACCACAGGGCTAAGCTTGATGAGAGAGAGAGAGAAGGAGAGAGAGAGAGAGAGAGAGAGAGAGAGAGAGAGAGAGAGAGAGAGAGAGAGAGAACGTTCTGAGTTGTCTTCTCTTTCTTACATGATCAGAAGTTAGAGGATTTCTATATATATCAGCAGAGCTCAAAGGAGCTGTCGTGACTGTGTGTGTTTGGGTGTATGTGTGTTTGTGTGTGCGTGGGTGTTTGTGGACGTGTTTAACAAACAACAATTTGACCAACTGGGGACATTCTGTTGGTCCCCACAAGGTCAAATGCGATTTCTAGGGGGTTTAGGGTTAAGGTTAGAATAAGTGTTAGGGTTAGAATTAGGGTTAGGAGATAGGGTTAGTTTTAGGGTTAGGGTTAGGAGCTAGGGTTAGGTTAGGTTTTCGGGTTAAGGTTAAGTTTAAGGTTAGGGGTTAGGGAAAATAGGATTTTGAATGGGACTGAATTGTGTGTCCCCACAAGGTTAGTTGTACAATACGGTGTGTGTGTGTTTGGGTGTGTTTGTGTGTGTTTGTGCGTCTCTCTGTCGAGGTGTAACCCAGACTACTTTGAGATATAGATATATATAGTATAGATCCACTCTTGTGCCTTTTATGCCAACCATAGCACAGCTTCTTTTCAAGCCCTAGAATAGTGACCAACCCTAGTAAAGCCCTAGAATAGGGACCAACCCTAGTAAAGCCCTAGAATAGTGACCAACCCTAGTAAAGCCCTAGAATAGTGACCAACCCTAATAAAGCCCTAGAATAGTGACCAACCCTAGTAAAGCCCTAGAATAGTGACCAACCCTAGTAAAGCCCTAGAATAGGGACCAACCCTAATAAAGCCCTAGAATAGTGACCAACCCTAGTAAAGCCTAGAGAGATCAAGGACCTGTGCTTTTCTCCTCCTTGTGTTATTCTATTTTTTGCAAAGTCGTGACTTTCTCTAGCTTATGAAGAACAAAGATGTGGCATCTATTTTTCATGAGGGTTGGGATATGAAACTGAAGGGTTGGGATATGAGTTTGCTAGCGGCAGAAGCGATGCTAAAGTTACCATGATGTGACAGACACAGTCTGCATCCCAAAATGGCACCCTCATTCCATATAAAGTGCAAAAATGTGGACCAAAGCCCTATGGGCTTAGAGAATAGGGTGCCATTTGGGACAGAGACATAATAACACTTTGAATGTCAGTCTGTTGTGGGGCTGCTAGCAGAAACCTGGAGAGACTATCTGTTAATGTCAGCTCTAGTCCTGGTCCTCATTTCTCCCTGGTAAGTCATTATTAAGTTAGTGTGATGGGCTGATGTCACGGTTTGTAAGGGATTTGTGAGAGTGTGTGTGAGAGTGTGTGTTGTGGGGAAGGGGTGTGTGTGTGTGTGTGTGTGTGTGTGTGTGAGAGGGTGGGAAGGGGGAGGTCCTGGGAATACTGTTGTAATAAAGGAGAGTTAATGAAACAAGCAGGACTTTGGCCACAGGACCCACAGGGTATAGTGTGTGTGTGTGTGAGTGAGTGGGTGAGGGTGTGTAATTGAGTTCATTCTCATGCTACCTCCACTCTCCCTATCTCCCTGCCGATGACTCACAGACAGTGAGCACTCCCCAGAGTATAGCTTGTTTGTGTTGCGTGAGAGCGAGAGAGAGAGCGAGAGCGAGCGAGAGAGAGAGAGAGAGAGAGAGAGAGAGAGAGAGAGAGAGAGAGAGAGAGAGAGAGAGAGAGAGAGAGATCCTGTCCTACTCCCAGCCCACCTAGCTGTCAGAGGTGCCAGATGTAATTATTTTAGTGACAGAGACAGACTGAACTAGACAGATAACATATGACTCAGGGGGGTGGCTGAGAATTGTCATGACTCCCTGCCTACATCACTGGCTGTGTCCCTACAGTACCTACGTCTCCATATAGAATTCTTTCACTACCCCACAATTCTCCTCTCATGCTTTGACTAGCTATAGTCACATGTCTTCCTTTGGCATGCATTTGTCCATTGTTAGAACACATCACCTGTCCCTGTAATGTACAGACAGATTCCTTGGATGACTGTGCTGTATCAGTCAATGCAATGTTGGAGTATGACTTACAGAGCTCTAGGCAGCCAGCGCTGGCCTATGTTTCTATGTGTGTGTGTGTGTGTGTTAGAGTGTGCGTGTGTACAGTTGAAGTCGGAAGTTTACATATACTTAGGTTGGAGTCATTAAAACTCGTTTTTCAACCACTCCACACATTTCTTGTTAACAAACTATAGTTTTGGCAAGTTGGTTAGGACATCTACTTTGTGCATGACACAAGTAATTTTTCCAGCAATTGTTTACAGACAGAGTATTTCACTTATAATTCATTGTATCACAATTCCAGTGAGTCAGAAGTTTACATACACTAAGTTGACTGTGCCTTTAAACAGCTTGGAAAATTCCAGAATATGATGTCATGGCTTTAGAAGCTTCAGATAGGCTAATTGACATCATTTCAGTCAATTGGAGGTGTACCTGTGGATGTATTTCAAGGCCTACCTTCATACTCAGTGCCTCTTTGCTTGACATCATGGGAAAATCAAAAGAAATCAGCCAAGACCTCAGAAAAAAAACTGTAGACCTCCACAAGTCTGGTTCATCCTTGGGAGCAATTTCCAAACGCCTGAAGGTACCACGTTCATCTGTACAAACAATAGTACGCAAGTATAAACCCCATGGGACCACGCAGCTGTCATACCGCTCAGGAAGGAGACGCGTTCTGTCTCCTAGAGATGAACGTACTTTGGTGCGAAAAGTGCAAATCAATCCCAGAACAACAGCAAAGGACCTTGTGAAGATGCTGGAGAAAACAGGTACAAAAGTATCTATATCCACAGTAAAACGAGTCCTATATCGACATAACCTGAAAGGCCGCTCAGCAAGGAAGAAGCCACTGCTCCAAAACCGCCATAAAAAAGCCAGACTACGGTTTGCAACTGCACATGGGGACAAAGACTGTACTTTTTGGATAAATATTATCTGGTTTGATGGAACAAAAATAGAACTGTTTGGCCGTAATGACCATCGTTATGTTTGGAGGAAAAAGGGGAAGGCTTGCAAGCCGAAGAACACCATCCCAACCGTGAAGCACGGGGGTGGCAGCATCACGCTTTGGGGGTGCTTTGTTGCAGGAGGGACTGGTGCACTTCACAAAATAGATGGCATCATGAGGAAGGAAAATTATGTGGATATATTGAAGCAACATCTCAAGACATCAGTCAGGAAGTTAAAGCTTGGTCGCAAATGGGTCTTCCAAATGGACAATGACCCCAAGCATACTTCCAAAGTTGTGGCAAAATGGCTTAAGGACAACAAAGTCAAGGTATTGGAGTAGCCATCACAAAGCCCTGACCTCAATCCTATAGAAAATGTGTGGGCAGAACTGAAAAGGCGTGTGCGAGCAAGGAGGCCTACAAACCTGACTCAGTTACACCAGCTCTGTCAGGAGGAATGGGCCAAAATTCACCCAACTTATTGTGGGAAGCTTGTTGAAGGCTACCCAAAACATTTGACCCAAGTTAAACAAAGGCAATGCTACCAAATACTAATTGAGTGTATGTAAACTTCTGACCCACTGGGAATGTGATGAAAGAAATAAAAGTGAAATAAATCATTCTCTTTACTATAATTCTGACATTTCACATTCTTAAAATAAAGTGGTGATCCTAACTGACCTAAGACAGGGAATTTTTACTACGATTAAATGTTAGGAATTGTGAAAAACTGAGTTTAAATGTTTTTGGCTAAGGTGTATGTAAACTTCCGACTTCAACTGTATGTGTGTGTGTGTGTGTATGTGTGCGTGTGTGTGTGTGAATGTGTGTGTGTGAATGTGTGTGAGTGTGTGTGTGTGTATATGTGTGTGTGTGAATGTGTGTGAGTGTGTGTGTGTGTGTATATGTGTGTGTGTGTGAATGTGTGTGTGTGTGTGAATGTGTGTGTCTGTGTGTATGTGTGAATGTGTATGTGTGTGTGTATTATTTAAACTCCCTCTCCTCTCTCCCCCCTCCAGGCAATGACCCAGGCAGAGGGCCAACAGAAGAACCTGGTTAACTCTATAGAGTCCCTGCCCTCCCGTGGTCCTCTGTCCTCTCTAGACCAGGACCTGCTCCTCCTCAAGGCCACGTCTGCAGCCACCCTCTCCTGCCTGGGGGAGTGTCTCAACATGCTACAGCACAATGTCAGCCAGGTATGGATGTATGGAGCTGTATGAGACATGTACAATGTGACAGAGTGACAGTCAGAGGAGATACTGTATAGGTGGACATGAATCTGGCGGGAGTGAGCCGACAAATGGAGGGTTGCTGGCATCAATATGTCAGGTACCACCTACTGCCGATGTTACCTTGAGCAAGGAACTTAATCCCCTAAACTGCTCATTGGGCGTTGCACTGCGGCTGG